CGGTTCCTCAAATCTATGCAATGGGAGTGGGAGAAATTGTCAGGCCTGCCCAAGTGCAATTTCACACACTTCATGAAAGTCAAGACTAGGTTGTCATTCTTACTTAATGCATACAAGACCCGAGGCAGTGTGGGTGGATTTAGTCCGGGGCATCTCTGAAGTTGAACAGCAAACTATTAAAACTCTGCCTGCTGACCAAACACATATATAATCTGTAAAAAAAACTAAAAAAAAACTTGATCTTCCACTGACTGGGTGGCTGCAGAATGGCTCAAAGAGTTCTCAAGTTGAAAAAGTATAAATGGATCTGGCCTTTCATGATGCACACTATCTTTACTGCATGTATCTATGTCACTATGTGGTCAAAAAAAAAAAAACCACATTGACATTCAGTCTTAGTGACAGTGAGATCAGACTAACTACTTTGGCACAAATTTCAAAAGTCCATCCAGTCATGATCGCCTAAGTGGGCTGAGTCTGACAACTATACTTGACATTGATTGGTTTGTAGACGTTGTGCGTCTGACGCTGAAGTGGTGCCACTTTGGATATTGTAATCGTTAACTTTCTTGATTAAAGTACACCATAAAAAGGAGTCTTAGCAGAAAAACAAATTATCCTGTACACTTTGTTAATTTGTTTGAAGCAGTAGTAGCAGCATAATTAACAATTGTGCGAAATTTCCTTTTTAGTCTTTCGCATTGTTTATTGTTGTTTTAACTTCCTGCAATAACTCGGAAAGTGTGACTATCCCCCCCAGAAAATAATTTCACAAACGAACCGGAGCATCGTTAAGTTGTAAGACATCTCTTGGTCGGACTAAAGCTTGCTCTTTTCACACGTTATTCTGAAAAGTCAGAAGGTGTGACTGAAACAAAGGAGGTGGGAAAGCCTCCATAGTCATACTCAGAGGCATAGTTTTAACTTTTCAAAAAAATAAATAAATCCATAGTTAATATATAGATTCAATTCAGCCTGAGAAATTAAATTCAGCTGCCCTATCCCAAGGCTAATGCATAACACTAACTCTATGGCTGTGCTCTAAATCAATCACTCACCCATTCTCTGGCAAAATACTTTTACATAGTTTGCTCTCTGACAAAGACACTTTAGAAACGTATAAATCATCTTCAGGTTGCTTCAGCGGCGACAGGTGAAGAGAGCGCAGGACTATAATTTACACTAATGCAAAATGTGATGAATGGCGCGATGGGATTCATAGCAGAACGTAATGCTAATATTGCGTGCAGCATCTGCAGTCAGACCCTGGACTCATGGACTCATTAAAAGCTGACTGTCCCCTAAAAATCCTCAGTTCAGGGCGTGCTTGATTTGTGATTTGCGGGTCGGTCAGAGCTGTGCCGGGCCTGCTATTGATTTAGTAGTGAGGGATGCTCGCTCAGTGGACAGGGCTTTGTTTATTCACACTTTTGCTATTTCTATTTTTCGTTTTCATACCCACAGTGACAGGCCATCGATTAGGCGAGAGGAGTTATCTCCCACAGAGATGGTGTGTGGATAGACCGGGTAATAAGGACATTAAACATCTCTGACCAGCCATAAATATAAGCTATGTGTTTTCCTCGGCTTACCAAGATAGCGAAGAAACACATCCTTCCCATTCCCCATGCATATGAGCCAAGACAATATAGGACACGGTAGAGAGTGAGCCAAACCTTTTTAGAGCACGTGCACCAGCTCTCTTATTCAGTCCAATAAATAGGATGTAATTCGTCCTGGGCTAGAAATAAAAAGCCTATCCACGGGAGATTATTTCGATTCTGGTGGGGAACTCGTCAGAGGTGAATATGCTTAATGTAATGCCATAAACTGTCAAACTGATAGATTCAATTCACTGATTTACCACATTTGGATTAGGGGAAATAACACAGCGTAATATATTACTGATCTGCTTTCGACTGCAGAGAGCATATTGTACTTCTCATCACTAGTCACGCAACAGTGATTTTGGCTCAGGCATGTGTGTTTCAGTAGAGGGTAAATGGGATATATACTCGGTTGCGTGCTGGAAATGCAGGAGTAAGCACTACTAAACCTGAACCTGAAACATGCAACCCCTCACTTTAATGTTTGTGTGTTTATTTGACCTTTTTGTGAGGACCATTTTCAACCTACAGAGCGAGGACAATTTAGGAGACTTGCTGTACCTGACCAAGAATTGAATCAGTCTAATAATATTCGGCTGTTCAATCCAAACATTCCGCTATTTTTATTTGTTTTTTTCACATAGACTTTCAAGCAATGCTTTACCGAGCTGCCAGATTTTTGAACAGGATTCAGGGTGACAGAAACATTCACGTATTATAGTAAACAAGTCGAGCCATCCCTCTGAGCTAAAGCAGTTTGTGCCAACACTTGATCGTCACAGACATCTTCACCAAGCTGCCAGGATGACTTGATGTAGTGGAATGATTTTACCCTGAAGCCTGGACAGTGTTCACTCTGTGGCCACTTCTGGGGACCTGACCCCTTCTGGGATAGGGACCCTAAAAGTATAGTGCACACTGCCTGAAAAAACCAAATTCGTGACTTAAAAGACGTCTATCGAGGTCTATGACTGATGATTTATACATCATGTTTTGATTGCATGTGTATATACAATTATAACTTTAGTAATCAATATATATGCAGTATTATCCTATCCTGTATATGCTCTCAAATAGCCTCCGCAAGAAAAATGTTTTCCTCTCCTATTTTGTGGGACAGACTGTTTCGTGGGAGGGAGACAGAGGGAAACAGACAGCAGAACAGTCCTCTGCGGTTTAGAGCTGAGAGGAGCTCTTCCCAGCCCTGTCACCTGACAGCCAAGGACTAGTCAGTGACAGTTTGAGGTCAGAGTGTGTTTCCACTCGGCTCAGTAGCCAGGCGACTGAAGAGCTGCAACGTGCCCAGAGGAACAGTGCATGACTGGCAGGTATCCTGAAAGTAGACAGACTCCCCCTAGATTCCGTTAACTCATACCCATGCTGACATAATCTAACAGGCGAACAGCACCGTGGAGATGGAGCTTTTCCGCTGCTAAGCGTATTCTCCCCAGGCCCTGGACTTACTACACAAATTAAACTCAAATATGCAGTTAGTGAGGCTCAAACTAGATCACAACCTAACGTGGAGACTTGAGTCTTTATCACCAAGTATGGGAATCAAATTTCCAAACACATTTTTCAGCCATTGCCACGTTGAAAAATTAAAATTTTGAAATGATTATTGAACTGTACAGAAGTTCAGGAGGAATTGTTCTCAGTGAACTGTGATACAATGCATGTTCCATTATATACCCAGAAGTGGCTGAAATATTTTTCTCGGGCAAAAAGGCCTAGACTGATAAACAAATACAATTCCACACCCTCGGAAATGATGATAATAATATGATAATTTAGGACAGAATGATTAAATGATCACACCACACAGGAAATGCTGCTTGCTTGATTCCACACAGAACCTCCACAAGAGAACACTTTGTTACTTTAAGTCAACGCCAGTGGAGTCTACCTGTGAAAAACAACAGGCCAGATGAAGCTGTATTTCAATCACATTGAAATAATCCAGCTTTTTAATTCCTTTGCTTCTGAATGTTGCTAAATTAAAGGTTCAGTGTGTAAGATTTAGTGACATTTAGTGGTGAAGTTGTATGTTGTAGCTGAACAGCCTCAGCCTCCCTTCCCTTCAGAAAAACTCAAACAGTGTTTAGTTGGTCCAGTCTGGGCTACTGTAAAAACATGGCGGCCTGCGTGAAGAGGACTCGCTCCCAATGTAAATATAAAGTATTTAAATGTAAAGGGTCCATTCTAGGGTGAAGAAAACAAAAACTCATACAATTTAAATGATTACACACTAGTGAAAACAAATGTATTATTTCACATTAAATTTCTGCCAATAGATTCCTTTCACCTAAATCTTACACACTGGACCTTTAATAGCTGGCACTGTCAGCTCAAGGAAGGGAAGCTAAATAACAAAAAAAGAGCAGGAACCCGAATAATTCTCTGGCCAGTATATCTTTCGATTTATCTTCAACTTTACTTTCTATTAAAATAGTCACACTCCTTTGGACAGTGAAATGCAACAAAGCATTTAAATACAAAAAATAAAATGATATGTCGTCGTAGAGGAAAGAGAATAAAAGGGAAAGACTTACGGAGGGCGTGCCACTCGTCCTGCCTTATTGTCTTGGTGATGTTGTTTGAGAGATTTTTGGGTATCGTAGCTGAGGAGTAGTGATATTTGATGTAGGAGCACCTTGCAATGGAACCTGCGGAGGTAAAAAAAAAAAAAATTCAATTATTTTCTAATAAAGAACCAACATGACTCACGGGTCATTACATAACATGCACGGTGATGACACAGAGCAGGACGTTGAGATAACATTGTTCCGCAGAGGCATGATTCAGCCATGTCTGCAGTTATTAATTAAATACCCAGACACTGGCAAATCACTCATCTTCCCTAAAACAATGGCAATCGGCTGTTGTGCCATACCCCATTGTGTCAACGCTGACGGAACACTTTGAACATACATTTCTATTATCTACAACTCTGATACAACGGGCTGTCAGAGAAACAATGAGTTCTTCAAAAGCTATTAACTAATCAGTCAAGGGAACCATTCAGCGAGTAATTATGAACGTCTCCAAGAGTCCCCTGGCCTGGCTGCGTGTGTGGGATTTCTATATGCAACATATTTCACTGACGATGTACTGACAGGCACAGATGTGTCGGAATTAATGGAGACTCGCTGAGCTGCAGAGATACTCAACTACAATGGCGCGAGACATTTTTCCTGAAAGATCTACTCTATTCCTGATAAGTGACCTCTTGTGGCCATGTGAGTAATGCAGTCCTGATCCCTAAAATCCCCTTCTCACTATTCCGACACCCGTTCCCTCTTCTGCTGGGATCTTCGGCATTTCGCGTCACTTTCCGTTGTTTTTGCCATCACCGCGGCGACTCATACAGCGGCGCTTTGAGCTTAATGCTAAGGTCACCATGCTAACATGGTCACAATGACAAAGAAAACATGCTGATGGGGTTAAGTTGGAATTTTGTACCATGCTCACCATGTTAGTTTATCATGTTCAAATGCTAACCATGGATAACAAGCGGTATCCAAGCTGAAGTACAACTCAAGATGCAGGAATTTTAAATCAGACACTGGACAATTTAAAATCTTGACTTAATAATGGTCACAGAAGGTCAGAGGTTTCTTAATTAAGATTATTAAGATTCATCTTCTAAAGCAAAACTAGGTCTGCACTCAAATTGGATTGTAGTCCACCCAGTAGTTGTTTGATAGTGGTACAGCTCTACTGAGATTGGTCGACAACAACAAAGAACCTGTTTTGTCGTTTGAATTGCTTCGACGTTTCGACAGACAGTCTTAAATTCCCACAAACGAAAGTCTCATGATGACACACTCGTAGCAAAGACATTGTTGAAAGAGCTCCTATCGGGTTTGGCTTGTTGCAGAGGCTGGACACACACGGGCACGTGGGCGAACCGATCACAGGAGCACCCCAGAATAATTAAGAAATTAGTGGCACGGGGAGGAGAGAAGAAATCCTCTGCTGCATTGACATGTAAAGCTGACTGGTCGGAAAAGTACGTCATTGACTGGTGCTACAATGTATGCTGAAAATCTAACTTGTTGCCCTCGTTGAGTTTTATTCAATATGTTATCGTCTTACTGTGATTACGTGTTGTTACAGACATGTTGCTGTTATCTGTTTCATATTACAGGTTAATAGATTAGCAGGTGATTGGAAAATCAGAGGGTTTTGTTGAATGGTGGTGGCAGGCCATTTTCTTTTTGCTCCCTTTTTCAATATGTAGGAACATTTTCATATCACCTCAATATGTAAGGCATTACACTGGTTCTGCTGTTTATTTCATGTATTCATACAAGGACACTCTCTCTGGTGGAACCAAAGCTTCAGTGGACATCATGCTATGTGCATTATGATTTATCAGCCTGTTCTTATTGCACCTCACATTTTGCTTTTATCCATAACACACACACATTTCCACCCCAGCCAAATGTAAAAGCATATTTCTCTTTGTGTCACTTTCACAATCTCCAGTCTCTATTTTTACCACTACCCTATGAGGCAAAAATAGAAATGCAGTAATTGTTTATCTAATCTCTATCTTTTCTAGTTCGCCATTATCTTCTCAATGACCCTGTGTCGGTGTGTGTCTGTTTCGCTGTATGAACACAAAGTGTGGCTGCAAAATACAATTGGTTCACACTATGACTGTAATTTTCTGGCTGGTGGAGGGAGAGCACTGCTTCCTCTCGACACCATTACATTACACCACATGTCCGCTCTAATTATTTCTGGCAAGCCTGTGTGGCCCACTGAAAATTACATTATTGGAGTCCCGTTAGATTTGAACTGCACAAACAGAGACAACCGGGATTACACTCCACTGCCTCTCCTCTGTCCTGCAGCCATGCACACACACACACACACACTGGCATAAACATGCACGCCCTGGAGACCGCAACTGCAGACAATGATAATTACCCATTCATGACTATCTCTTTAGCTGCGGTGTGCTCGGCACCCAGTCTCTCGGAGACGTGGTGTGTATGATGAAACTACAGTGCATTAAACGGAGCTGTGTACATCCTGAAATATGATGAATAGAAATCATTATTATACTGTCAGTTTGATTCATAATCCTTCACGTTACAGGATGTAAAGATTCATAATTCATAGAGCATTCTAAGATATTTACTTTCCACATTTAAAACCAATAAGACGAGGCCAGAGTCAGGGGTGGGAGCTCACTGCTGTTAATCAATACGTGATCACATCTCTTGTCTAGCTCTCCTCACACAACGAGACTTCAAAGTTAGGATTAGCTGCCGGGGAGATGTCCCTCTGGCTGGAGTGGAGAGGTGGACAGAACGTGACGGAGCAGGGAGAAGCCGGGAGGACGCGTGCATATCATAGCTTTATAAAAGCTTAATATTCTGAAGACATACGGAGTGTATTAACTCTCTTTGCTGTTATCTATCCTGGGTTTTGCCTGACAAACTGTGGAATATCGTAAATATTGACAGATGGCATCTTGTAAATAATCTCTTTAGGCTCCATACATTAGTCTCATATAATCCTGAGGGTTTTATGTTTTTATAACTGGTGACAGCATGTGATATGAAAAAATACCTCAATACATGAGTATTTTTAGCCCCGTCTGGCAGTGGGTTGGGCAGTCTGTCCATCAACCACTCAGCTCAATGATGCTCAAGCCTGAGGACATAATCCCAAATTAATGGTTATGAAGTAATTCTGTCTACCACCTAATGTTAATGTATGGCTACACAGTGGATCCTTATATAAAAGTAATACCAGAAGTGAATCATTTAAAATTAGCACAGTTTTATCAATTTTATAGTTATATTATTGTGATTATATAGTTATTTATCATTAAAGTTATAGTTTTATATTATAAGATTATTGTTATTGATTCAATAACTCATAAACATTTGGCAGTTGTGAATAAAAATACCTTACCTAAGTACAAGTATGTCATAGCTTAATGAAAGCCGAGCTATAAGTGTGTTTGTGAGCTGTAACCTGTAAAAATGATATGACTGTGTATATAATACATTAATGCTGGTCTAATATCACATTTATTATCAACTGTATTCAAAATATATTCCACATTTATGGGTTGAACTGTTCGGGACTTCGCTACGGACTTAAGAATATGCCACACCAACATTGGCAGCTAATGATTAACATAGGAAAACTCTGAACACCATGCCTTCTGGAATATTTGTGAGACTTCATCAGTGCTGCAGCATAATTGCAAATACGATTTCCAATGTGAAATCTTAATCTATAATGGTTTGTATGTCGATGCTTCACTTAATTGGATGCTAACTCTGTCCGGTAACTCAGGACATCTGGTAAATGTCAGTCCACTCCTGTTTCCAGGAAGGTGCTTCTATTGAGGAATAGCATCCACTAAATGTTCTAACCTCACCCCGTGTTCCCTCGTGTCTGGCATCATAATGCAGCACAGATTAATCAGGGATCTCCCTGTGTAATGCATGTACTGCTCTATTGATGTACTCAGTGATGGAATTCCTTAAGGCTCCCACAAGTCATCTCAGGTTACCTCAGAGCCGTTTCCCCAGTGAAGCGTTTGAAGCTGAATCTAACTGTGTGATCGCGCTGGCTTTAGAACACCAACTTCTGGTGGTGTTACAGCATGAACAGAAAGGTGGCTCGCAGTGATCTGTCTTATGTAGTGGAGTCATGGGGTTGTTATGGATTTTTCCTGATGTTTGAGGAAGCCTCTGAGAACTGGAGGGATTTCAAATAGGCCAATAAAACTGATGACCCTGACAAAATACTCATCAGAGCAATATGGCGCTGGGCTTCTATAACGGAAGCAACTAATTTGAAGGCAGCACACCAGTGCTCGCAAACTGCTCACAGACAGGTATTAAAAAAGCCACAAGAGGGTACAGTTCAAATTATGTGCAGTGGTGTTGCAGCGTTCATTGGCTCATTGGCATTGTGTGGATGGAAAATACAGCACCGACAATCAAGAATGGGCTGTAATTAGCGCTGGTTCTCATAATTCACATTTGCATTCAGGTAATCAATACTACTCAGCTGTCCGTTATGTGAGAACAGCCATCCTATTATATGTTTTGATGAATATATACTTCGATTCAAAGAGTGGACCTGACAAGTGGTGAGAGTCCATTAGGTCGAGAGGTTTTGAGCAGACGAATGCAAGAACACCAACATTTCCTCTCATCAGTGGCACAAATCCTTCAACCTGACAAATAGCAAGTTTTTCCCCTAATGCATGGGACCAAAGACACTTGATGGAGAAAAGACAAATCCAATACTGGTAGTTCCATTTCCCTCACTGACGTGAGTCCACCAGCAGCAGCTGCAGGTTCAGTTCTGACCCGACCCAGTCAGTGGTCACTTTATTCTTAATGATCTAACATTCACCACCATTGTTCTGGCACCCAATGACTTTTCCAAGTTACTTATATCCATCCTAAGACAATAGCTTATTAATTAATTCAACAATGTGCGATAGAAAACACTTCCATCACAAGGATGTTCTTCCTGTCGTGTTGTCTGATAATTCATATCAACTCATCTCAGAGGTATCTACTGCAGCTCGAGTGGAGTCCAGAATAAACCCCACAGAAATCCACTTCTTAATATGCAGTCCCCGTATAGCAATGCCACAGGAAAAAAAACCAAAACACTA